GGGGTGTGGGGCTAGGAGCCAAGGAGCCGGGGACCCCGCCGGGGTGCCGCTGCTGGCAGGGGCTGGGCTGGGCACAGGGCTGGGGATGGGATGGGATCCAAGCCGGAGTTGGTGATCCGGACCGGGATAACCCCAGCGAGCTAGGGAGTGGCGAGAGGAGGGCTGCCTTTTGGGGTGGTGCAGGTTTGGGGGTCTGATGAGTGAGACAGATGGGAAGGGTGGAGCTGGGCTGGTGTCGTGGGCTGACTCGACTCTGGAAGACGCCGGGGTTCTGGGTGGTGCTGAGGGGACACTGGACCAGGGTAGGCAGCGGCTGGCGAGGGTCTGGCCTGAGGGCACCGGGAGAGATGAACCCCCCTCGCACGTGCAGCTGGTGCTGCAGCCCAGGATGAGCTGGGGCCTCTAGGTGGGCAGGTCTGCCGCTGGGGGGCAGCGGAGAGGACTGGGCCGCTCTGGGCACCGGCCTTTGGAAAGACCCGGGGAGACGCTGAGTGACAGCTCCCCTCCCCACCCTAGACGGCTGCGATGAGGAGCTGGTGGGGCCGCTCTACGCCCGCTCCCTGGGCGCCTCCTCCTACTATGGGCTTTTCACCACTGCCCGCTTCGCTCGGCTGCACGGTGAGCTGCCGCCCGCCCCAGCAGGTGGGGACTCCAAGGGCTGGGGAGGTGTGGGTGGTGAAAGTCCTTGCCTCTCCACAGGCATAAGCGGGTGGTCACCCCACACCCGGGACTCGAACCCCTGGCTGCAGATCGACCTAATGAAGAAGCACAGGATCCGCGCTGTGGCCACGCAGGGCTCCTTTAACTCCTGGGACTGGGTCACACGCTACATGCTGCTGTATGGCGACCGTGTGGACAGCTGGACACCATTCTACCAGCAAGGGCACAATGCGGTACTCTGGGCACCGGCGGGAGGGACGGGTGAATTTCAGGGGACCGGATGGGATGGGACTGCAGCACCCCCGGTGAAGTGGAGGAGGAGATGCCATTTGATCTGCGCTCGGGGCAGGGGGTGGTGACTGGGACAGGACGCCGTCCGCACTCTCCCTGCCTCGCAGACCTTCTTCGGCAATATGAACGAGTCCGCGGTGGTGCGCCACGACCTGCATTACCACTTCACAGCGCGCTACGTGCGCATTGTGCCCCTGGCCTGGAATCCTCGCGGCAAGATCGGCCTGCGGCTCGGCCTCTATGGCTGCCCCTACAGTGAGCCGCGGGCCGGGAGGTGGAGATTGGGGTGGGCTCCCCAGCACAGCGGCCCACCGCCGACCTCCACCCTGCAGAGTCCGACGTCCTCTACTTTGATGGCGACGACGCCATCTCCTACCGCTTCCCGCGAGGCGTCAGCCGCAGCCTGTGGGACGTGATCGCGCTCAGCTTCAAGACGGAGGAGAAAGACGGGCTCCTGCTGCACGCTGAGGGCGCCCAGGGCGACTATGTGACGCTGGAGCTGCTGGACGCACACCTGCTGCTGCACATGAGCCTGGGTGAGGCCCCTCTGCACACACAGTACCGAGCCGAGAGGGCGCG